GTAGTTACACGTGGCTGAACTAGTTGTTTCCTGCAACTAACAGCAGGTTAGACAGGGTAGTTACACGTGGCTGAACTAGTTGTTTCCTGCAACTAACCACAGGTTAGACAGGGTAGTTACACGTGACTGAACTAGTTGTTTCCTGCAACTAACAGCAGGTTAGACAGGGTAGTTACACGTGACTGAACTAGTTGTTTCCTGCAACTAACCACAGGTTAGACAGGGTAGTTACACGTGGCTGAACTAGTTGTTTCCTGCAACTAACAGCAGGTTAGACAGGGTAGTTACACGTGGCTGAACTAGTTGTTTCCTGCAACTAACCACAGGTTAGACAGGGTAGTTACACGTGGCTGAACTAGTTGTTTCCTGCAACTAACCACAGGTTAGACAGGGTAGTTACACGTGGCTGAACTAGTTGTTTCCTGCAACTAACCACAGGTTAGACAGGGTAGTTACACGTGGCTGAACTAGTTGTTTCCTGCAACTAACAGCAGGTTAGACAGGGTAGTTACACGTGGCTGAACTAGTTGTTTCCTGCAACTAACCACAGGTTAGACAGGGTAGTTACACGTGGCTGAACTAGTTGTTTCCTGCAACTAACAACAGGTTAGACAGGGTAGTTACACGTGGCTGAACTAGTTGTTTCCTGCAACTAACCACAGGTTAGACAGGGTAGTTACACGTGGCTGAACTAGTTGTTTCCTGCAACTATCCACAGGTTAGACAGGGTAGTCACACGTGGTTGAACTAGTTGTTTCCTGCAACTAACCACAGGTTAGACAGCGTAGTTACACGTGGCTGAACTAGTTGTTTCCTGCAACTATCCACAGGTTAGACAGGGTAGTTACACGTGGCTGAACTAGTTGTTTCCTGCAACTAACCACAGGTTAGACAGGGTAGTTACACGTGACTGAACTAGTTGTTTCCTGCAACTAACCACAGGTTAGACAGGGTAGTTACACGTGGCTGAACTAGTTGTTTCCTGCAACTATCAGCAGGTTAGACAGGGTAGTTACACGTGGCTGAACTAGTTGTTTCCTGCAACTAACCACAGGTTAGACAGGGTAGTTACACGTGGCTGAACTAGTTGTTTCCTGCAACTATCCACAGGTTAGACAGGGTAGTTACACGTGGCTGAACTAGTTGTTTCCTGCAACTAACAGCAGGTTAGACAGGGTAGTTACACGTGGCTGAACTAGTTGTTTCCTGCAACTAACAGCAGGTTAGACAGGGTAGTTACACGTGGCTGAACTAGTTGTTTCCTGCAACTATCCACAGGTTAGACAGGGTAGTTACACGTGGCTGAACTAGTTGTTTCCTGCAACTAACAGCAGGTTAGACAGGGTAGTTACACGTGGCTGAACTAGTTGTTTCCTGCAACTAACAGCAGGTTAGACAGGGTAGTTACACGTGGCTGAACTAGTAGTTTCCTGCAACTAACAGCAGGTTAGACAGGGTAGTTACACGTGGCTGAACTAGTTGTTTCCTGCAACTAACCACAGGTTAGACAGGGTAGTTACACGTGGCTGAACTAGTTGTTTCCTGCAACTAACAACAGGTTAGACAGGGTAGTCACACGTGGCTGAACTAGTTGTTTCCTGCAACTAACCACAGGTTAGACAGCGTAGTTACACGTGGCTGAACTAGTTGTTTCCTGCAACTATCCACAGGTTAGACAGGGTAGTTACACGTGGCTGAACTAGTTGTTTCCTGCAACTAACAGCAGGTTAGACAGGGTAGTTACACGTGGCTGAACTAGTTGTTTCCTGCAACTAACAACAGGTTAGACAGGGTAGTTACACGTGGCTGAACTAGTTGTTTCCTGCAACTAACAACAGGTTAGACAGGGTAGTTACACGTGGCTGAACTAGTTGTTTCCTGCAACTAACCACAGGTTAGACAGGGTAGTTACACGTGGCTGAACTAGTTGTTTCCTGCAACTAACCACAGGTTAGACAGGGTAGTTACACGTGGCTGAACTAGTTGTTTCCTGCAACTAACAACAGGTTAGACAGGGTAGTTACACGTGGCTGAACTAGTTGTTTCCTGCAACTAACCACAGGTTAGACAGGGTAGTTGAACGTGACTGAACTAGTTGTTTCCTGCAACTAACAGCAGGTTAGACAGGGTAGTTACACGTGGCTGAACTAGTTGTTTCCTGCAACTAACAGCAGGTTAGACAGGGTAGTTACACGTGGCTGAACTAGTTGTTTCCTGCAACTAACCACAGGTTAGACAGGGTAGTTACACGTGGCTGAACTAGTTGTTTCCTGCAACTATCAGCAGGTTAGACAGGGTAGTTACACGTGGCTGAACTAGTTGTTTCCTGCAACTAACCACAGGTTAGACAGGGTAGTTACACGTGGCTGAACTAGTTGTTTCCTGCAACTAACAACAGGTTAGACAGGGTAGTTACACGTGGCTGAACTAGTTGTTTCCTGCAACTAACCACAGGTTAGACAGGGTAGTTACACGTGGCTGAACTAGTTGTTTCCTGCAACTAACCACAGGTTAGACAGGGTAGTTACACGTGGCTGAACTAGTTGTTTCCTGCAACTAACCACAGGTTAGACAGGGTAGTTACACGTGACTGAACTAGTTGTTTCCTGCAACTAACAGCAGGTTAGACAGGGTAGTTACACGTGGCTGAACTAGTTGTTTCCTGCAACTAACAGCAGGTTAGACAGGGTAGTTACACGTGGCTGAACTAGTTGTTTCCTGCAACTAACCACAGGTTAGACAGGGTAGTTACACGTGGCTGAACTAGTTGTTTCCTGCAACTAACCACAGGTTAGACAGGGTAGTTACACGTGGCTGAACTAGTTGTTTCCTGCAACTAACAACAGGTTAGACAGGGTAGTTACACGTGACTGAACTAGTTGTTTCCTGCAACTAACAGCAGGTTAGACAGGGTAGTTACACGTGGCTGAACTAGTTGTTTCCTGCAACTATCAGCAGGTTAGACAGGGTAGTTACACGTGGCTGAACTAGTTGTTTCCTGCAACTAACCACAGGTTAGACAGGGTAGTTACACGTGACTGAACTAGTTGTTTCCTGCAACTAACAGCAGGTTAGACAGGGTAGTTACACGTGGCTGAACTAGTTGTTTCCTGCAACTAACCACAGCACAGGTTAGACAGGGTAGTTACACGTGGCTGAACTAGTTGTTTCCTGCAACTAACCACAGGTTAGACAGGGTAGTTACACGTGACTGAACTAGTTGTTTCCTGCAACTAACAGCAGGTTAGACAGGGTAGTTACACGTGGCTGAACTAGTTGTTTCCTGCAACTAACCACAGGTTAGACAGGGTAGTCACACGTGACTGAACTAGTTGTTTCCTGCAACTATCAGCAGGTTAGACAGGGTAGTTACACGTGGCTGAACTAGTTGTTTCCTGCAACTAACCACAGGTTAGACAGGGTAGTTACACGTGACTGAACTAATTGTTTCCTGCAACTAACCACAGGTTAGACAGGGTAGTTACACGTGGCTGAACTAGTTGTTTCCTGCAACTAACCACAGGTTAGACAGGGTAGTTACACGTGACTGAACTAGTTGTTTCCTGCAACTAACCACAGGTTAGACAGGGTAGTTACACGTGGCTGAACTAGTTGTTTCCTGCAACTAACCACAGGTTAGACAGGGTAGTTACACGTGGCTGAACTAGTTGTTTCCTGCAACTAACCACAGGTTAGACAGGGTAGTTACACGTGGCTGAACTAGTTGTTTCCTGCAACTAACCACAGGTTAGACAGGGTAGTTACACGTGGCTGAACTAGTTGTTTCCTGCAACTAACCACAGGTTAGACAGGGTAGTTACACGTGGCTGAACTAGTTGTTTCCTGCAACTATCAGCAGGTTAGACAGGGTAGTTACACGTGACTGAACTAGTTGTTTCCTGCAACTAACCACAGGTTAGACAGGGTAGTTACACGTGGCTGAACTAGTTGTTTCCTGCAACTAACAGCAGGTTAGACAGGGTAGTTACACGTGGCTGAACTAGTTGTTTCCTGCAACTAACCACAGGTTAGACAGGGTAGTTACACGTGGCTGAACTAGTTGTTTCCTGCAACTAACCACAGGTTAGACAGGGTAGTTACACGTGGCTGAACTAGTTGTTTCCTGCAACTAACCACAGGTTAGACAGGGTAGTTACACGTGGCTGAACTAGTTGTTTCCTGCAACTATCAGCAGGTTAGACAGGGTAGTTACACGTGACTGAACTAGTTGTTTCCTGCAACTAACCACAGGTTAGACAGGGTAGTTACACGTGGCTGAACTAGTTGTTTCCTGCAACTAACCACAGATAACCCAGCTTATTCCCCCTCGTCCCTACATTGTAGCCCCTACATTGCCCCTACAACTCAACTTTTTCAAATAGAAAGCTAATTAATACAGGTGGGCCAAAAGTGACATACGTTGGGCCATATACCACTCATTCGAGGATTCTGTCGCCAAAATTCGAATATTTAAGACCACGCCCATACAATATTAAATCACCTATATAATTGTTCTTTCTTAGCGCCCCAAGAATGGTAAATGAAGAAGCATTATTTGATATTTTGACCAACATAAAACTATCGTTAATTAAAATTTTAGAAGGCAATGCCTTCGGTTGATGGAAATCTAGCGTCCGCTGACCGGCGCAATTCTTGTTAGTTTTGCAATGATAATATTCATAAAAATAAACTATAATACTTTGTTGTATATATATATTTAATTTTGTTTTCATTTTATTGTTATCAGCAAAAAATTAACTACCCCTCATACCTCGCTAATTACCTCACTAATTACCTCACTAATTACCTCACTAATTACCTCAATAATTACCTCAATAATTACCTCGCTAATTACCTCGCTGATTTCCGCACTAATTACTTCACTAATTACCTCACTAATTACCTCACTAATCACCTCACTAATCACCTCACTAATCACCTCACTAATCACCTCACTAATTACCTCACTTATTACCCCACTAATTACCACCTCCCCACAGAGCAGAGTGTCACTAAACTGCACAGTCCCTCCTACTCCCGAACAGTCCCCATTACATGTTAACCCTACTGGTGAGCTGCTGCTGGAGATAATAAACACTCACATCTTTACTGTTATGGAGCATGAAGGAGATCCGGACACTTCCTACTTTTCAGTGTTAGTTAATATCTACTAATAGATCCCTAATAACATCTACTAATAGATCCCTACTACATTTGTGAAATTATTGAAAATTACTTGTGTTAGTATGTTGTAAAACAGGCGGTAGATCAGTCGAACTTAAAATTTGCGAGTACCTTAGCTTAGTTTATCTATTGTGGGGGGGGGGGTGTCACGTCCGTCTATGTCCGCTTGTCTCGGGTTGTCTCATAGAATCCAAAAAGGACAGGACATAGGCGGACATATGCGGACATAGGCGGACATAGACGGACATAGGCGGACATAGGCGGACATAGACGGACATAGGCGGACATAGGCGGACATTAATGGACACTTAAATTGCTAAATAAAATGTTCAATTTTTGCTGTTATAGGGGGATCATGTTTTTTGTCCGTTCGGTACCCTATATTTTCAAAACGGACAAAAAATAGAGCGGACAAAAACGGACAAAAATGGACAAAAACGGACAAAAATGGAAATAACATTTAGATGCTTCCTCCTCCTACTCTTCCTCCTCCTCCCCCTGGGTCTTCCTGATCTTCCTCAGTCCTCTTTCTCCTCCCCTCCTCAGTCCTCCTCCTACTCCTCCTCCCCGTCCTCAGTCCTCCTCAACAGTCCTCAACAGTCCTCCTCCTCCCCAGTCCTCCTCCTCCTCCTGAGTCCTCCTCCTGGGTCCTCCTCCTGGGTCCTCCTCCTCCTCTTGATCCTCCTCCTCTTCCTCCTCCATCCTCCTCCTTAGTCCTCCCCCAGTCCCCCTCCTCCTCCTATTCAGTCCTCCTCCTCCTCCTCCTCCTTCTCAGTCCTCCTCAGTCCTCCTCTTCCTCCTCCTCCTCCTCCTCCTCTTCCCTCTCAGTCATCCTCCTCAGCCATCCTCCTCAGTCCTCCTCCTCAGTCCTCCTCCTCAGTCCTCCTCCTCCTGGGTCCTCCTCCTCCTCTTCATCTTCCTCCTCGGTCCTCAGTCCTCCTCCTCCTGAGTCCTCCTCCTCATCCTCCTCATCAGTCCTCCTCCTCCCCAGTCCTCTCCCAGTCCCCCTCCTTCTCCTCCTCCTATTCAGTCCTCCTCCTCCTCCTCCTCCTCCTCAGGTCTCCTCAGTCCTCCTTCTCATTTCTCCTAAGTCCTCCTCCTGAGTCCTCCTCCTGAGTCCTCCTCCTGAGTTCTCCTCCTCTTCCTTCTGAATCCTCCTCCTGAGTCCTCCTCCTCCTCCCTCTCAGTCATCCTCCTCAGTCATCCTCCTCAGCCATCCTCCCCAGCCATCCTCCTCAGCCATCCTCCTCAGTACTCCTCAGTCCTCCTCCTTCTCAGTCATCGTCAGTCCTCCTCCTCAGTCCTCCTCAGTCCTCCTCCTCCTCCTGGGTCCTCCTCCTCCTCCTCCTCCTGGGTCTTCCTGATCCTCCCCAGTCCTCTTCCTCCTCCCCTCCTCAGTCCTCCTCCTACTCTTCCTCCTCGTCCTCAGTCCTCCTCATCAGTCCTCAACAGTTCTCCTCCTCCCCAGTCCTCCTCCTCCTGGGGCCTTTTCCTGGGTCCTCCTCCTGGGTCCTCCTCCTCCTGGGTCCTCCTTCTCCTCCTCCTCCTCAGTCCTCTTCCTCCTCTTCCTCCTCCTCCCTCTCAGTCATCCTCCTCAGCCATCCTCCTCAGCCATCCTCCTCAGTCCTCCTCCTTCTCAGTCCTCCTCAGTCCTCCTCCTGAGTCCTCCTTCTCCTCAGTCATCCTCCTCAGTTCTCCTCCTCCTCCTCCTAGGTCCTCCTTCTGGGTCCTCCTCCTCCTCCTCCTCCTGGGTCTTCCTGATCCTTCTCCTCCCTCTCAGTCATCCTCCTCAGTCATCCTCCTCAGTCATCCTCCTCAGCCATCCTCCTCAGCCATCCTTCTCAGCCATCCTCCTCAGTACTCTTCAGTACTCTTCAGTCCTCAAAATGTTCCTCCTCTTCATCCTCCTCCTCTTCCTCCTCAGTCTTCAGTCCTCCTCCATCCTCCTCCTAAGTCCTCCCCCAGTCCCCCTCCTCCTCCTCCTCCTCCTCCTCTTCCCTCTCAGTCATCCTCCTCAGCCATCCTCCTCAGTCCTCCTCAGTCCTCCTCAGTCCTTCTCCTCAGTCCTCCTCCTCCTGGGTCCTCCTCCTCCTCTTCATCTTCCTCCTCGGTCCTCAGTCCTCCTCCTCCTGAGTCCTCCTCCTCATCCTTCTCATCAGTCCTCCTCCTCCCCAGACCTCTCCCAGTCCCCCTCCTTCTCCTCCTCCTATTCAGTCCTCCTCCTCCTCCTCAGTTCTCCTCAGTCCTCCTTCTCATTTCTCCTAAGTCCTCCTCCAGTCAGGGGCGTGCCCAGGGGGGGGGGGCGATGGAGGCGGCCGCCGCCCCCTTTTTGAAATGTTGACCTATAATTTTTTGTCGAAAATTGCTTTTTATAGCAAAAAAATATTTTTATAAAAAATTTTATAAAAATGTTCACAAAAAAAATTAAACGACATAACATCAAACACAATTACAAGTATTACTTTTTAAACATATGTACTAATTTCGAACTAATTGAATAAGGCCGTTACACATGCCTTGTGCATACATTTTCCATGGGATGGCTGCCCTAATTCTAGGTAGCCACTCATTCATGGTTGGGTCAACAAGTACGAAATTATAATTTCCCTGATATTCATCAGTTCTTAATAGTTAATACTTACATACATCTATAATCATTCGTGATTAATGATCATTACGTTACTTAGTCCAGTATACAGTCAGAAATGGCAACACATTAAGAAACAGTTCAAGCTCAAAAGAGTCAAGAGATTAGAGAGAGGCAGATTAATATGGGAAAGAGGAGCTAAAGTATCTACTTTGATCTAGTATCTTCATGTACAATGTTAGATGACTGATGATATCCACTTGGCATCTAGGCTGATAAAGTTCAAAAATTTCTAATGACCAAGTGTGTATCAACTGTCTGAACCTTCTCTAATGATATCCTTAATCCTATTGGCTTAGCATATAATTCTATAATTCAGTCAAAAATTTTCCGGGGGCTGCGCCCCCGGGCACCTGCCGCCACTCGCTTCCCTCGCGGCGGTAGGCTCGCCTACCCCTTTCAAAAATCCTGTGCACGCCCCTGCTCCTCCTGAGTCCTCCTCCTCCTCCCTCTCAGTCATCCTCCTCAATCATCCTCCTCAGCCATCCTCCCCAGCCATCCTCCTCAGCCATCCTCCCCAGCCATCCTCCTCAGCCATCCTCCTCAGTACTCCTCAGTCCTCCTCCTTCTCAGTCATCGTCAGTCCTCCTCCTCAGTCCTCCTCAGTCCTCCTCCTCCTGGGTCCTCCTCCTCCTCCTCCTCCTGGGTCCTCCTGGGTCTTCCTGATCCTCCCCAGTCCTCTTCCTCCTCCCCTCCTCAGTCCTCCTCCTACTCTTCCTCCTCGTCCTCAGTCCTCCTCACCAGTCCTCAACAGTTCTCCTCCTCCCCAGTCCTCCTCCTCCTCCTGGGGCCTTTTCCTGGGTCCTCCTCCTGGGTCCTCCTCCTCCTCAGTCCTCTTCCTCATCTTCCTCCTCCTCCTCCCTCTCAGTCATCCTCCTCAATCATCCTCCTCAGCCATCCTCCCCAGCCATCCTCCTCAGCCATCCTCCCCAGCCATCCTCCTCAGCCATCCTCCTCAGTACTCCTCAGTCCTCCTCCTTCTCAGTCATCGTCAGTCCTCCTCCTCAGTCCTCCTCAGTCCTTCTCCTCCTGGGTCCTCCTCCTCCTCCTCCTCCTGGGTCCTCCTGGGTCTTCCTGATCCTCCCCAGTCCTCTTCCTCCTCCCCTCCTCAGTCCTCCTCCTACTCTTCCTCCTCGTCCTCAGTCCTCCTCACCAGTCCTCAACAGTTCTCCTCCTCCCCAGTCCTCCTCCTCCTCCTGGGGCCTTTTCCTGGGTCCTCCTCCTGGGTCCTCCTCCTCCTCAGTCCTCTTCCTCCTCTTCCTCCTCCTCCTCCCTCTCAGTCATCCTCCTCAGCCATCCTCCTCAGCCATCCTCCTCAGTCCTCCTCCTTCTCAGTCCTCCTCAGTCCTCCTCCTGAGTCCTCCTCCTCCTGAGTCATCCTCCTCAGTTCTCCTCCTCCTCCTCCTAGGTCCTCCCTCTGGGTCCTCCTCCTCCTCCTCCTCCTGGGTCTTCCTGATCCTTCTCCTCCCTCTCAGTCATGAGTCATCCTCCTCAGTCATCCTCCTCAGTCATCCTCCTCAGTCATCCTCCTCAGCCATCCTCCTCAGCCATCCTTCTCAGCCATCCTCCTCAGTACTCTTCAGTACTCTTCAGTACTCTTCAGTCCTCAAAATGTTTGTCCGCTAATGTCCATCCAAGTCCGCCAATGTCCGTCCGGGTCCGCCAATGTCCGTCCGAGTCCGCCAATGTCCGTCCGAGTCCGCCAATGTCCGTCCGAGTCCGCCAATGTCCCAAAAAACACGTCTGTTGTCTCATAGAATCCAAAAAGGACAGGACATAGGCGGACATAGACGGACATGACACCCCCCCCCCCCCCCCCCCCCCCCCCCCCCCCCCCCCCCCCCCCCCCCCATTGTGCCACTGGACTCCGTATTAGGTCCTATAACTTACCAATTTAACCATTATAATTTACATAAAAGACCTTCAATAGATATTTATATCTATGAGAGTTCTGGTACACTCATTATATAAGACAGCGTGACTGACACTACATTTATCAGGAGCTCGGAAACTGGCACACTTCTACACGGCAACAACTCTCCAGTTGGTGTGTCCACCTCCACTCTAACCGGCTCCTTCATAAACACAACACAACTTAACGAGATACTCTACACTCTACCTTCTCGTCTCACTAATCTCCTGCCGGACAGTAACAAAGATTACGGATTCTTTACTCTAGCTTCTAAAGTCTTCTTTGACCAGGTTTGTTTCTACAGATATCTTAAAAGTTAGGTGTTTTTATTTCAATTTAACCTTGCTACGTAACCAATTCTCAAGCTCCCTACGTAACCAATTCTCACATAGTTCTGCGGTCTATTTGTTTTGGATGTTACTTATCTGCTCTTCTTATTTCAGAGGATTGTAATATATGCTAATATAATATTATTAAATACTAATATGTACTTATATTAACTACTTGTTACAGAGCAAGAATATTAAAGAGATAACGCTAGCTGTTGCTTTACAAAACGTGTGTCACAGAGTCTACGTAAAGCCCAGGGAGGAAACATTCGCCTTACAACTTATGGAGTTCTTTGATGTTCAGGTAAATGAAGAAGAGGCAGGAGGGGGAGGGAGGGGGGAGGGGGGCCGGGGGGGGGGGGAAGGGGGCATCAGTGATAAGTTTGGTGTTAGACTGAGGTCAGCACTTAGTAACCTGGTAACCTGGTAACCTTTACAAATATCTCACAGGACTATACTGTACCTGGTTATAAGCTCCCTCTCAGTGTTACTTAGTAACTTAATAACCTGGTAACCTGGTAACCTGGTAACCTAGTAACCTTAAAAATATCTCACAGGACTACATTGTACCGGGTTACAAGCTCCCTCCTACTTAGTAACCTGGTAATCTAGTAACCTGGTAACCTGGTAACCTAGTAACCTTTACAATATCTCACAGGACTATACTGTACCGGGTTACAAGCTCCCTCTCAGTGTTACTTAGTAACCTAGTAACCTGGTAACCTAGTAACCTAGTAACCTGGTGACCTGGTAACCTAGTAACCTTTACAATATCTCACAGGACTATACTGTACCTGGTTATAAGCTCCCTCTCAGTGTTACTTAGTAACCTAGTAACCTGGTAACCTGGTAACCTAGTAACCTAGTAACCTTAAAAATATCTCACAGGACTACATTGTACCGGGTTACAAGCTCCCTCCTACTTAGTAACCTGGTAATCTAGTAACCTGGTAACCTGGTAACCTAGTAACCTTTACAATATCTCACAGGACTATACTGTACCGGGTTACAAGCTCCCTCTCAGTGTTACTTAGTAACCTAGTAACCTGGTAACCTAGTAACCTAGTAACCTGGTGACCTGGTAACCTAGTAACCTTTACAATATCTCACAGGACTATACTGTACCGGGTTACAAGCTGCCTCTCAGTGTTACTTAGTAACCTGGTAACCTGGTAACCTGGTAACCTGGTAACCTAGTAACTTGGTAACCTGGTAACCTGGTAACCTAGTAACCTGGTAACCTGGTAACCTAGTAACCTTTACAATATCTCACAGGACTATACTGTATCGGGTTACAAGCTGCCTCTCAGTGTTACTTAGTAACCTGGTAACCTGGTAACCTGGTAACCTGGTAACCTGGTAACCTGGTAACCTGGTAACCTTTACATTATCTCACAGGACTACACTGTACCGGGTTACAAGCTGCCTCTCAGTGTTACTTCACTACACACTCACTTGTGGAACCTGGCTGTTGATTACAGGCCTCTTTACCTACCTTGGAAGCTACTTCTTACAGTTCAGAGTCTAGGTTAGTACTGAGAGAGAGGATTCAGGGTAGTTGAATAATCTTGCAGTTCAAATATTCATGTTTATAACTCAAACAAGATCTGAATTGTGATCTACTAAAAGATAAAGAATGACATGTTGGTCACGTAACAGCCCATTTACAGTTACCATGGTTACAGGTATCAGCAGTAATCTAGCTCTAGAAAGTTCTGTAACTTCTCTGAGAGTGCTATTAGAAGACTTGTCATTGTATCTAGCTCCTGGTAGTGAGGATGAGACCCCTGTTACTGGTTAGTAATTAGTTAATCTATTAATTAGTTAATTAGTTAATATATTAATTAGTTAATTCCCTCCTTGACAACAGCTTACTTTAAAAGTGTATCATCTGAATGTTGGTATTGTTACTTTCACGATGATATATTTTGATATATTTGTTCAATGTTATACCCTCGTTACCATGGTTACTTTGCAATGTTGATCACGTGAAACATTGGCAGACTACGTGAAGCTCATAGACCTGGACCTGTTTGAGCTGATGATAAAGATGCTGATCTCGCCCAATGAGAAGTCTCCACAGTTTGAGATTGATATAAAGAACAACATGTTACATATTGGCACGTGCGCGGACGCGTGCGCGGCTCTTAGAGACCTTCTTGTGTACATCTCTAGTGAGGTGAGTGTCAGAGAAATTAGTGGATCAACCTCTTTTCCAACCGCTTATATAGTTACTTCGTGTACACTACATGATGTAGATAACATCGTATCTCCGTACATACAATGTCATGTCAATCGCCAAAATTGTAGGTTTTGGGCAGATGAGAAGCCACATGCAACAGTTGAGTCGCTTATCACTAGAGAGAAAGTCACAGCTTGGATGTGAACCCCATTTTTCTCAGGGTGACCTATATGACCCTGTACCCCCCACTTAGGGAGACCTTTATAACCAAGTATCCCCTACTTAGGGTGACCTATATGACCCCGGAGAGTGGACTAACACTAGTAACCTTTACAGGGTGACCTATATGACCCCGGAGAGTGGACTAATACTAGTACCCCCACTAGGGTGACCTATATGACCCTGGAGAGTGGACTTACACCAGTACCCCCCACTAGGGTGACCTATATGACCCCGGAGAGTGGACTAACACTAGTACCCCCCACTAGGGTGACCTTTAGGACCCCGGAGAGTGGACTAACACTAGTACCCCCCACTAGGGTGACCTATATGACCCCGGAGAGTGGACTAACACTAGTACCCCCCACTAGGGTGACCTATATGACCCCGGAGAGTGGACTTACACCAGTACCCCCACTAGGGTGACCTATATGACCCCGGAGAGTGGACTAACACTAGTACCCCCCACTAGGGTGACCTATATGACCCCGGAGAGTGGACTAACACGAGTACCCCCACTAGGGTGACCTATATGACCCCGGAGAGTGGACTAACACCAGTACCCCCCACTAGGGTGACCTATATGACCCCGGAGAGTGGACTAACACTAGTACCCCCCACTAGGGTGACCTATATGACCCCGGAGAGTGGACTAACACCAGTACCCCCCACTAGGGTGACCTATATGACCCCGGAGAGTGGACTAACACTAGTACCCCCCACTAGGGTGACCTATATGACCCCGGAGAGTGGACTAACACTAGTACCCCCCACTAGGGTGACCTATATGACCCCGGAGAGTGGACTAACACTAGTACCCCCCACTAGGGTGACCTATATGACCCCGGAGAGTGGACTAACACTAGTACCCCCCACTAGGGTGACCTATATGACCCCGGAGAGTGGACTAACACCAGTACCCCCCACTTGACTTACTTGACTTAAGGCGGCTTCAGCGTCCGAGTATTGATGCGCTGTCTCCATAAAACTCTATCCGCCATAAGTCCGCCCATTTCTCCAGTGTCGTTGAGACCCGTGTCAGCTCGTAGGCTATCAACATAGGTCATGGCTGGTCTCCCCCTACTCCGCACCCCATGAGTTGGTTCCCAGAGTAGCAAGCGGTTTGCGACTAGTTCTGGGTGCCGGTGGATATGGCCTGCTAGCCGCATCCTGCGCTCTTGGATCTTCATGGTTGCTCTCGGTAGGTTGCCATAGACTTCTTTGTTGGTTTTTCGCTGCTTCCAATCCACATTAAGTGCCATCCTTAGCATTCTAGTGTAGCAGCCATCAATGCGTTTCTTCAATTGCTCTGTCAACGTCCACGTTTCAGAACCATAAAGAAGTATTGACTCCACAGTAGCAACAAATAGACGGATCTTTAGTCCTCTTCTAAGGTCAGACTTCCACATCTTCTTTAGCTTGTGGCAGGCTGCCCAAGCCTTAGCTTTTCTGACCCGCAGGCCCCTCTCTGTTGTTGCTATCCAAGCTCCAAGGTAAACAAAGTCTGTCACCTTTTCCAGCTGGTTTCCAGAACAGCTATTAAGACTACTCGCCTCCTCTGTCATGTTCAGAGTCATGAACTTAGTTTTAGAGCCGTTCATGGCTAGCCCAACACTCAGTGCTGCTTTCTCAAGCCTGTCCAGGAGTAGTTTCGCCCCTTCAATGGTATCAGTGATAAGGGCAACATCATCTGCAAACTCGACGTCTGCGATCTTCTCGGCACCAATCCTTCTACTCCGTGCAGGCCTGAGAGTAAACCCAGAGTCCGAGTCATCATCGTCTATAGTCACTGTCATGATATAGTCAATCACGATAATGAACAAGTACGGGGCAAGAGTGTCTCCTTGCAGTACTCCAGCCAGGATATCAAAAATTTCTGTTATACCATCGGCTGTAACTACTTTAGCCTTTGTGCTCATATAGATATTAGATACCCTCAATGAGCCGCACTATGGCTTCTGGTATGCCATATGCTTTCAATATCTTCATGAGCAACCCTCTATGCACACTATCGAACGCCTTTTTGAAATCAATGAAAACCATGGTGGCCTTAAGATTTTTGGCTCTAGCACCCTCCATAATTCTTCGTAGAGCAAGGATGTGCGATGTTGTAGAGCGCCCAGGTCTAAAGCCATTCTGGTTGTCCCTTAAAACTTCCTCAAGACTTGGCTTCATCCTGTTCAGAAACATTTTGTTCAGAGTTTTACTGACTATCGATGTCAGAGATATTCCTCTGTAGTTGTCGGTCTTAGTGAGGTCCCCTTTCTTTGGCACAGGAACAATATTACTGAGCTTCCATTGATCGGACATGAGACCATCACATAATGCATCGTTGCAGAACTTCAGGATGACGTCATCGATGTCCACCCTCTTCATCACTTCAGGTGAGATACCATCATCACCATAAGCTTTGCCTTCTACTATCTGCTTTTTGGCAAGACGTAGTTCCTCAATGGTGAACGGGCCATCCTCTATATTCAGTGGGGGGTGTATATTCCTGATCGGAATACTATTGTCAGGGACTGTGGGTGGCTGTCCAAGTAACCCAGAGAAGTGCTTCCTTCAGTTCTCAAGACGTTCTGTTGAGCTGCCCCCTTCCACGAGTCCACAGCTGGGATTTGTCCTCCCTGAAATATCGTTGACAAGCTTCCAGCTTTCCTTGTTCTTACAACGATCAGCAGTATCCTCAACTTTCCTGATCTTTCCTTTCAGGATCTTCTCCTCTACCTCTTTGTAGCAGGCCTTTAACAAATCCTTTTTAGTGGCGACAAGATCAGAGGCAAACGGCCAATACCTCTTTAGCTACTGTTCACTCCACAGCCGGGGGAGTCACTGATTCTCTGCACCTCTCTTCTCTTGAGGTTTAGAGTTAGGAGACAATTATGTGATCCAATAATTGAAATCCGCGGGGGTCAGTGAGCCTCCCGTCGCCCTTCGCTGCCCTTAGCCTGGAGATCACCACTGTTCATCCAGTTTCCAGTCTTCACCACGAGGAGGTAGCAGGATAGGACTTGTTGTGGAGAGGCTTCATCTTGCTGTTCGATGTGGTACTGGAAAAGGGCACCAACGGGGTAGCCCTTTTTCGAGGTTCTGGCTGCTGCAGGCAGATCCAGGGTCTCTATCCAGCGGTGACGCTTTGGGTCACCTGCGCTTCACACAACCATTGGAAGACCCCACTAGGGTGACCTATATGACCCCGGAGAGTGGACTAACACCAGTACCCCCACTAGGGTGACCTATATGACCCCGGAGAGTGGACTAACACCAGTACCCCCACTAGGGTGACCTATATGACCCCGGAGAGTGGACTAACACCAGTACCCCCCACTAGGGTGACCTATATGACCCCGGAGAGTGGACTAACACTAGTACCCCCCACTAGGGTGACCTATATGACCCCGGAGAGTGGACTAACACTAGTACCCCCCACTAGGGTGACCTATATGACCCCGGAGAGTGGACTAACACTAGTACCCCCACTAGGGTGACCTATATGACCCCGGAGAGTGGACTAACACTAGTTACCTTTACAGGGTGACCTATATGACCCCGGAGAGTGGACTAACACTAGTACCCCCACTAGGGTGACCTATATGACCCCGGAGAGTGGACTAACACCAGTACCCCCCACTAGGGTGACCTATATGACCCCGGAGAGTGGACTAACACCAGTACCCCCCACTAGGGTGACCTATATGACCCCGGAGAGTGGACTAACACTAGTACCCCCACTAGGGTGATTTATATGACCCCGGAGAGTGGACTAACACTAGTACCCCCACTAGGGTGACCTATATGACCCCGGAGAGTGGACTAACACCAGTACCCCCCACTAGGGTGACCTATATGACCCCGGAGAGTGGACTAACACTAGTACCCCCCACTAGGGTGACCTATAAGGAATACAAGGAATACAAGGAATACAATACAAGGAATACAAATTTAAAATCTTGAGCTACAATAGTAACTGTTAAGATAATAACAATATCATAAGATTTGAATTTATTATATTAATATAATTTAACTAAAGTGAAAAATAAAGATTTGACATAAAATATTTTGTTTTCAGTCGCCTTGGTAATGCTGTAATGCTTGAGCCAGGTCACTTTGCAGTTTGCACTCGTCGTTGCGCGAAAAGAAACAAAAGCGGGTACAGTGATTTTCAGTGTTCACTGTTCATGTACTGGCCAGAGAGTCAACAAATTTCTTGCGGTTGTTAAAACACGTAGTGGCAAACCTAGCAACGACTCTCGTGAGGTGGACTTGACTTTCGTTCGTGATAAGTTCAATGATTTCACTGTTGTTGCTGATGAATTTGAGGACGTTTGCTCCAGGGATGACATTGTGAACAGAATAAGATGTCGCAGACGGTTTGATTGGATTTGATATGAGTGACTGGATCTTGTCTAGGACTTTTCGCCTCGATGCAGCGTTAAGATCACAATGGTTAAGGAAGTGGTCTTCATTCTCAATAATACCAGAACCTAAGACTATATTGCACCAGGAGCATATTCGCTCGTCACGTGGAGTTTGATTATATCGGCCAAGTTCAATTTCGAGTCGATGTGCACTGATCCGCAGTCTTGTGATATTAGCACGGTCTGCATATTTAATGACACTATCTAGGTAATACTCTTTGTTAAATTTGGATTCTAGGTCACGATAGAATTCTAATTTCCGAGAAGTGTTGATACAGGACCCCCAATTTTGTCTGGTTCCGGGCAAAAGACCAGGTAGCTTCGATGAGGCCTGGCATGTGGGTCTGGATGTGCTGGTTG